GGAGCAGGGAGCCGTACACGCCCCCCTGCTCCAGCGGGAAGCTGCTCCCGCTCACAACCCCTCCATTCTGGGAGGACGAGAGGTCTTCAGAAACAACAGATTTGGCCCTCACAGTGTTTGATCTGGGCAAAGATCCCCACGGGTCTCCCGTCCACCTGCCTGGCAGAAGGCAGGGGGCAGCTGTGAGTCCAGCCTGAGGAGGGCAGGATGCTATGCACATCCTGTCTGAGAGAAGTTCCCTAAAGAACCGAACTTCCAGTCTGGCGCTGAAGGAGACAAAGACTAGGAAAGTCCCACACGATGGAGGATGAAGTTAATGGACTATGCAGAACTAGATAAACTAACAGGAAGGATTCGAAACCGGCGGGACCAGAAATTCACGGAAGACTGGAGTAAATTTACGGACTATTTGAAAAGTATTTGTGAAGATCAGACGACGTTTGTAGGTTTGCAAGAAGTTTTGTGAGAAGTATTATTGGAAGTATTGCAAAAATGGAGAAGGGGAAGGATGATTTGTTAAGAGATGTAAAGGCAATATAAAGTTAAGAAATGCATAAGAAGTGGTTAAAACAGTGGATCATCAGAGGTGCTGATGGAAGTCTAAAAAGATTGTATAAGTGATAAGTTTTGTGTGTACATTTTATAATTTATATGTTAAAATCAATAAAAAAAATTTTAAAAAAAGGAAAGTCCCACACGGGGAACCTCTTTGGAAAAAGCTCACCATTTCGCTAAACGCCATTTACCGAGCATGGGGTGAGCTTCTGCGTAACACAGTGGTTCAAAATGCCATGGCGCCGTGGGTGGCAAGGCTATTCATCCCCAGAGAATGTCTCTGGCAGAGAGCGTGCGCTTCCTTTGTAATTACAGATTCCCTCCCATTCATTAAGGGATCATTCAGACAAGGTCCACACGCAAGCCCACCCCTTAGATTAGCCTGTAGATCACAACCGCTGCTTCCCCTGCGGGAAACACTGAAAATCCTTGGCAAACGCCCCTTTAAGTGTAACAGGCAAGCGAGACCAGAGACAAACTGCGAAGCGAATTTTGTCTCCCTCCAGCTGTCCGTCTCTCCAGCTTGAGCTGCCCTTGCTAGCGATGCACAATGTCACGTTTATCCTCACCATTGGAGGCAATTGAGAAATCAGAGAAAGGGGTCTATAAAAAGCACTCAGGCTATTAATACCTGTATGCAAGGGAGAAAAGCGGGACTGAAACAAGACAGGGAGGAATGATTCCTGGCTGTGCTGAGCTTAATTTGTTAGGGTTTAGAGCTGCTGGATGCCAGACACTTCCTAAAAAGCGCCAGAACCCAGATTTGTCTTAATATCAAACACTGGCAGATATCGCATGGTTTCCGCACCTGCAAGATGGCTGGTTCGTCTTGCTCAGTGCCTCTCCACTTATGAACCAGCCCATCCCTGTGGTCTTCATCAGAGGCCCCTCCCTGTGCGCCCCTCCTGAGGAAGGTGCAGAGGGTGGCCACACGAGAAGAGGTGTGATGGCCTGGGATTCAGACTCAGAGGCTGAACCTGAGGGATCCCAGCCTGCACACGAGTCCCCGCCTCCAGAACCAGCTGAGCCGGGGCTGGGGCATGAGCCTGAAGGGTCTTCACCTGTGCTGGATCCTCAGGAGCAGACACCAGATGAATCCACTCTGGCTCCGGGAGTGATCGAGGACCCATTGCCTGCAGGTGCTCCTCTCCCTGCCCTGTCAGGGGAAGCTGAGGTTGCCTCTGGATCCAGTAACCCTCCAGCCTCTCCTGAGCTGCAGAGGCTCAGGGCAGAGAGGCGGAGGGAACTAAGTTCATGCAGGAGGAGTGCTCGCCTCCAGGCCAGGAGAGGCGAGTCACCAGAGGATCGGGGCCACCCTTTGCCTCCGGGCAGATAAAAGCTGGCCAGCCCCAGTCCCAGGTTGCGGGAGCAATGTTGTTGCTAGCCTGCCGGCACCCTGTCCTGCTCTTCTGCCAGAGTTCTTGACCCCACCTGACTCCCCGCCTTGGACCCAGCTACAGCTTTGACGGACTGCCTCCATACCGCACCCTCGACCTCAGACTGGACTCAGACCTTACCTCTCAGTTAGCCTCCGGGACCAGCACAACAGGCCTTTTCAGTGGTGGCTCCCCATCTGTGGAATTCCTTCCCCAGAGAGACAGGCCTGGTGCCATCCTTGCCATCCTTTGGGATTTTTCTTTCCTTTGGGAATCGCCTTGCCTCCCTCCAATGGTGGTGCTCATCTTTTAGTGGGGTGGGTAGGACTTGACCATATTAACAGACCCTCCAATTGTCCCTACTTTCCAGGGATGTCCTTGATGTAGATAAGCTGCCTGGTTTCTGATTGGATGTCCCTATTTTCATTGGAGAAATGTTGGAGGGTAAGGAGTTATCTGACCCTTGAGCCGTCGGAAGGCAATCCTGTATAGGGAATTTTTTTTTTAATATTTCATGTTTTATTATGTTGTTATATACCGTATTTTTTGCTCCATAAGATGCACTTTTTTCCTCCTAAAAAGTAAGGGGAAATGTCTGTGCGTCTTATGGAGCGAATGCATGGTCCCTGGAGCCGAATTGCCCAGGGGCAAAAAGCAGATCATGCTTTTTTTTTTTTTTAAGAAAGAGGGAAGTGGGTGTTGAAACAAAGCCGCTGATCAGCAAGCGATCGGGAGGGAGATAAGGGAGGCTAGCAATAAAGGAGGCTGCCTGGGAGGGGGGAGGTAAAAGCCCATGGATCCTCAGGATTTTTGCACTGGGTCACCCCAAATTCACCATCAAATCACATAGCATGTCCATGGCTACAGCCTGCCCCCCCCCCCAAATCACACATCCACTGTTTCGTGGGGCCTCGATGGCACAAAAATGTGGTTACAAAGCACGGACCCACATGGATCCTCAGGATTTTTGCATTGGGCTACCCCAAACTCACCGTCAAATCACATATCATGTCTTTGACCACAGCATGAACCACAAAGATCATACATCCACTGTTTCATTCAGAATATTTTTTTTCTTGTTTTCCTCCTCTAAAAACTAGGTGCGTCTTATTGTCAGGAGCATCTTATGAAGCGAAAAATACGGTATGTTGGAAGCTGCCCAAAGCGACTGGGGCAACCCAGTATGATGTGTAGGGCATAAATAGTAAAATTATCATAATGGAATGAGACATCCCTATTTTCATCAGAGAAATATTGCAGGATATGTATTAATATGTTACTGAATGAATATTTTGTATTGTTAATTATTTTAATTTATTTCTGATTTTAAATTGTTTTTGTTGTATTTTATCTTGTCGAGTTGCTTTGAGGTTTTGGGTGGTTTTTTTTGCTTTTCGACTGATAAATAATATTACACCCCCCCTTCATTGTTTTAGGGCTCATCCGGACTTCCTTCTGCGCTGCGTTTCCACAAGTCCAAACTTTAAAACTCCACATCGGAGTGATTTTATTTTTGTCTCAGCACGTTCCTTGGGAAAACCCACATTTTACCACTGAAATGGAGCAAACAGCAGCAAGATTTTCTGCAGATTGCTGATGCAGAGGTAAATTGCAGATTTCGGTGGGGAAAGCTTTGGGACAAAAACAAATGGAGAAACACTCAGATACAGAGCTTTAAAGCGCAGATCTGTACTTTGAAAGCACAGCAAAAAAGTAAGTCAGGATAAGCCTGTCAGGATATATATGTCGTATTTGTTGTTTTCGTAAACAGCTCGGAGACTGTTTCAGTATTAAGTGGTTTGCAAATACCGTATTTTTCGCTCTATAGGACGCACTTTTCCCCCTCCAAAAATTAAGGGGAAATGTGGGTGCGTCCTATGGAGCGAAAGCAGGCTCCTTGGCTTCAGCGATAGCAACGTGAAGCCTCCGAAGCGCAGAGGCTTCACGTTGCTTTTGTTGAAGCCTGGAGAGCGAGAGGGGTCGGTGCGCACTGACCCCTCTCGCTCTCCAGGATTCAGGGATAGCTGCCTGAAGCCTTTGGAGCACAGCGCAAGTTCCCGTTGCGCTCCGCAGGCTTCAGGTTCCTTTTGCTGAAGCTGGGAGAGCAAGACTCTCCTGGCTTCAGCAGAGAGGGAGAGCTGCGCAGCGCCCCTTCAGCGAAGCAGGAGGAGAAATGGAAGGGGCTCCGTTTCTCCTGCCGCTTCGCTTAAGGGGCGCTGAGCAGAGAGGGGGAGAATTTTTTCCCCTTGTTCTCCCCCTCTAAAACAAGGTGCGTCCTGTGGTCGGGTGCATCCTATAGAGCGAAAAATACGGTATATGCAAGAAATCCTGGCCATTCTGTCTGCTGCTTTTAGACATGACCCAGACACCTTCCAACCATTGTACCAAAAAATTTGATTGCACAGTGGTGGGACCACGAGGACCAACTCTGCTGAAACTTGAAGCAGCTCTCGCTTAAAACAGAAAATCATTAAGAATTTACAATGTGCAACAACAGCCAGTGTTTTGAGGGTGGGGCTTACGGCAGAAGCCCCATTTGCGTCCTGATGCATTATTTAGTCCAAACTACTTTTGAGTCCCTGCGAGGAAAAACAAAACAAACAAAATTTGGAAAAAGAGATGTCGTTGCCAGCCTCCTGCATTCCCATGTTTTCTGTACTCCTGCCTTTTTCAAGACCTCATTTGTGGTCACTTCTTTTCGGTAATCCTAAAACCCTGATGATGTCAGGCAGGCAAGCAGGCGCCTTCGCTGTACCCTTTTCGACACCTACTAAAAACATTTCTGTTCAAACAAGCTTCCCCAGATATGGAGAACGCTGATGAGTTTTATAACCTGTTTTTAGTTTATCGATGATTTTAATTGCTTGGCAGTTTTAAGTAGATTTGTATTGCTTAATTGATATTAATTGTTTTATTCATTTTGTAAATCACTTTGAGGTTTCAGAGGATAATTGTGCTTCAGTTTGTGCATTGGTTCGAAAAGTGCAAACTGGGTACTTTCTTCTTGTAATAATAATAATAATAATAATAATAATTTTATTATTCATACCCCATCCATCTGGATGGGTTCCCCCAGCCGCACTGAGCGTCTTCCAACAAATTATTAAAAATACATTAAAATATCAGTCACTAAAAACTTCCCTAAACAGGGCTGCCTTCAGATGTCTTCTAAAAGCCAGATAGTTGTTTTTTCCCTTTGACATTTGATGGGAGGCGTTCCACAGGGCGGGCGGCACCACCGAGAAGGCCCTCTGCCTGGTTCCCTGTAACCTCACTTCTCGCAGGGAGGGAACTGCCAGAAGGCCATCGGCGCTGGACCTCAGTGTGCAAATGGAATTTCTTCTCTGTCTACAGCCGCCCCCAAGCTTGGTGGTGAAATAAAAAAATTAAGGTCTTATGTATATAATAAAGGTTCATAAATGTAGCAAGCAAACACGTACATAAATATATAAACCACATGTCTGAAGCAGCACAGGAGAACAGCCATGAAGCCCTTTTGACTCCCAAACTGACCAGGTGTTTTCTCTGCAAAGTCAAATGGAAAAGCCTCCCCATTGTCTTTTCCTTCACAAATCCTGTCTTGAGGGTATGTCTGTGTATGAATAGGGTGAGCCTGTGACCTGGCTCAGGAACTAAGTATTTGTCACTACAAAAGACTGGCCAGGCTCCCCAGGCAATCCAATCAAATAAGCATTTACAGGTAACCTGCCAGACAGGAGGTAAACAACGCACTCAGATTTCTGGCAAACAACGCGCTCAGATTTCTGCTGTAGACCGCCCTTTCTGTGATGTAGGTATGATGTATCTGGGGGGTGGTCTTGAGCTACACCCCTTCTGTGATGTAGGTATGATGTTTCTGGGGGTGGTCTTGGACTCCAGGGCGGGCAATTTAAAATGTCTATATAAGGGCGGGCACACCTGTTTCTTGGTCCTCTTCCTCCTGCGTGTGAGGGGAGCACCCTGTTGCAACAGTTCAATAAAGATCAGGCTTACTAGCTGCTTTGCTTCTCAATATTCTCTGGTTGGCCTCTGTTATTTTCTCTGACCGATGGAGAACCTGCAAAGGACTCTATAAGGGCTCTTGTGTCCCCCATAAGGGAATAAGGGCAGATTTTTGTTTATTACCATGGCTAGTTTGGCCCTTGGGTTCCATACTAGCAGCTACAACATGCCAATGTGAAAACCTCAAAGGGGGGAGTGGGGAGGTATTTTAAACCACATCCTGTAGAGCAAATCACCTGCTTCAGCCTGCAGATGCTCCCTCTCTGGTCCAGCCATAAGCTGACTTACCTTTGGCATCTTGCGGAGGTTGGGAGACAGCTTCAGGCAGGTGACGTGGCCACGGTCATCCCCGATGATGATGATGGGGTAGATAGCGTTGAACTGGACATGGGTGATCTTGTTCCTCTTCTTGGCCACCACCGGCTGGTTGCAGATGGGCTCATATTTGTTCACGCTCAGGTCAAAGACGTGGGACTGGTGGGAGACACAGGGAGGGGCACACAAAGGGGTTAACGGTGAGGGTGGGGGAGCCAGGCGATGGCTGAATTTCTATTTTTTATTTATACTTTTCAAGTTTATACCATTCACTAATTTTACAATCATTTTGACATTTCATTTTTTAAAATATTTTAATTTATTTAACATATTTATTACAAAATATAAGCAACATATTGCAAATACTTACATACATATATATTTCAGATAAGCACACATATATAAAAAAGAACAAAAGAGAAAAAAGGAAGAAAGAAAAAGAAAAAATAAAGAGAAGAAGAAGAAAAGTTGGAAGAATTTCTTCCAAATTTATTCTACAAATATCTCAATAATAAAATTTCATTGATTGACTTCCATCGCTTACACTGCACTTCCTATATACATTTTAAGCAAGACTGTATCTGTTATTCCGTATTTTTCCCATACAATCTCATACAAATATTCTAATCCATAAATTTTCTAAATCTTTCATAAATCTATTCTAAACACAACCAATACCTTACATTTAATCTTTGTCTACATAAATAATCATTCAAACATTTCCATTGTTTCTGGATTATATTTTTTGGTTTTTGTCTTATCAAATCAGTCAACTTTGCTAATTCCAAGTATGCACATAATTTATTCAGCCATTCTTCTTTAGTTGGAATGTAATTTCCTTTCGACATTTAAAAACTTGACTTCCTTCCCCCTCTTTCTGCGATTCCTTAAATTTATTTTTAGTATCTTCTGCATATCCAAATGAACTTAATTTGCTCATTTATTCATCTTCTTTAAATATATACTCTTATGAAACTGCAGGTTATTACAACAATCCTGCCAATGTTTTTATCTGTTTACAATTTATCAGTAAATATTCAATAAACCATTTCATTCTTTTATAAATATATATATATATATATATTGTTAGCTTGATTCCTTATTCTTCCGGTAAGTTTTGCCATTTTTGCATGTTCCACAAGTTTTTGTATCCATTCTTCCTTTGCTGGGACTTCTGCTTCTTTCCGTTTTGGAGTAAGTAATATTCTTGCTGTTGTAGTTGCACACATGAATAAGTTTCTGTACGGTTTAGGTAGTTCTGTCCCTATAATTCCCAAAAGAAAAGCTTCTGGGTTGTTTTTACAAAGTTTTTCTTTACAAAGGTTATTTTAAAGATCCTTTTCATTTCATTATACATCATTTCCCATGGGAAATGGCTCAACAACATTCCTAACGTTGCACCGGTGGAGAGCACATAAGCCTGTTACGCCCCATTATGCCCCGCCCCTTTTTTCGGCCACTTCTGTGTTGCACCGACACGGTCGTGTGCTGCGGTGCATATATTGGACAAGTATAAAATGTCCATTGCCTGTTCAGTGAAGGCACCTGCCTGGTATCAATTGGCAGGGAGTTCCAAAGTGTTGATGCTGCCACACGAAATGATTAAGTTCTTACAAATGCAGAACAGGTTTTCCGTGGCACCTGTAGTAGTGCCAGTTCCACCAATTGAAGCGGTGGACAGAGTGGGCAGATGTGGAGTGAAGCAATCTCATAGGTAAACTGGTCCCAAGTCGTTAAGGGCCTTATATATGGTACTAAGGTCCATGAATAATCCTAGTTTAGAGGTCCCGGGCCCTAAGGAAGTCAGATTATCCTCTACCAGGGCCAGGGCCTTCTCAGTGATGGCTCCGACCTGGTGGAATGCTCTGTCCCATGAGACCAGGGCCCTGCAGGATTTAACTTCCTTCTGCAGGGCCTGTAAGACAGAGCTATTCTGCCTGGCTTTCAATCTGAACTTACCCTGATCTTTTATTCCCCTTCCTTCCCTCCCTCTCCCCTTTTTATGAAGATTACCCGCTCTGGGATCCCACAGCTAATTCTCCCCTGGTCTCCTCGCTGGCCCAAATAGGACTATATTTAGCCAGCTAGCCCTGGTGATCATCTAATGTTTATTGGACGGATTTACCCCCTACTGTAAATTGATTTTTTAATTCTGAATTTATTGTTATTCACTTTTTATACTGTATTTTGTGCTGTTTTTTGTTGCATTAATTAAGTGTTTTAAATTTATTGTTAGCCGCCCTGAGCCCGGTTTTCTGAACCGGGAAGGGCGGGGTATAAATAAACATTTATTATTATTATTATTATTATTATTATTATTATTATTATTATATCACTTCAAAGGCCAAGGGATGCTCTCTTTCCAGTGTGCATTTATCCTTTGAAACAGGGAGTGCATTAAAGAGGAGCGAATAGGACCAGATGGCCATCTGCCATGGACACTGAGACGCCTGCATTGCATTGGGCTTTGTGGGGGTTGGACTAGATGACCCTCAGGGTCTCTTCCAACTCTGCGATTCTGTGTTCCTCCTGCTGCTGGCAGCTGCCACATTTGCACGGGAACAAGGACCCTACGCATCTGTGGCTGGAGGAGGCTGGCACCAATACAGCTCCAAGGCGGGTGGAAGCACATCATTCAGAAACACCATTAGTATCACCGACTCTTAACTGCCCAAGCTAATGTCTAAAATAATCAGGCAATCAGCTCTTAAGTGGAGGGATTCCTGCGCTGGCTGACAAATGCAGAAAGCACACACACACACAGACACACAGACTTGCTGCCTCCACAGCTCTCTGCTATTCAGGGCCTTGATGATACAATCAAGAGGGCCAGGGAGAAAATTAATGGAGAACGAAGTCAAGGGGTGGGAGAGAAGCAAGCTGAGCTAATGGATTTAAACAGGGAGGGGATGCAGAGGGGGGGGGACTGAACATGATGGAACCTGCCTCCCTCCACAATGCCTAGCTCAGCTTAAGAGCCAGAATGTGGGCACTTTGTGTGGGTTATGTACTGAGTTGAATAGGATCCAGAATGCAGCAGTCTGATTGGTCCTAGAACAATAGGATCCAGAATGCAACAGTCTCATTGGACCTAGAACAATAGGATTCAGAATGCAGCAGTCTGATTGGTCCACAGGAGCCACCCAATCCAGCTCCAGGTGGAAGGGAATCCGCAACCTGATTGGCCTA